TGCTTCTGATCAGCAGAATGTAAATTATACCCACACTTCAGTTGCAAAGAGGTCTAAGGTCAAAGGGATTTTTAGTTTTCCAGCTTCTGCAGTAGGAGAAGGAGTTTGGCATGAATTTGGAATGACTCAGTCTCAGCGTCACCACAGCATGATTAACTAAAATATGTATGATTCCTGAAACTTATTCCATAGATGGTGCTCAATGATACTAAAACAATATATTTATTTGTGCAGTATTTTACATTTGGACATATCATGCTACACTGTAAACCATCATTAATTCAATTAATAGAAGTTGAGAGGTTGAAGGATGAATTGAATAACGTGGTACTAAGATTTTATGAACTAATTGCTCCAGCAAAATACATCTTTTTTTGAGATGGAGTCTTACTCTGTTGCCCAGGCTGGAGTGCAGTGGTGCAATTTCAGCTCACTGCAATCTCCACCTTCCGGGTTTAAGGAATTCTCCTGCCTCAGCCTCCTGAATAGCTGGGATTACAGGTGTGCACCACCATGCCTGGATAATTTTTGTATTTTTAATAGAGACAGGATTTCACCATGTTGGCCAGGCTGGTCTCAAACTCCTGACCTTGTGATCTGCCTGCTTTGGCCTCCCAAAGTGCTGGGATTACAGGCGTGAGCCACCGTGCCAGGCCATAAAAATCTTTTAAGGGAATCAACAATTAAAAGCCACAAAGGAGAGGAAACTGACTTTATGTTCTGAAAAATTTGTGGTCTCTTATTGATACTTCAGATACCATTATCAGTAGAAAGACCAGTGATTTCAGAAAGAATAATAAGCAATCTGGGCTTAATCTGCAGTTATTTTATTTATTTATTTATTTGAGATGGAGTCTCGCTCTGTTGCCCAGGCTGGAGTACAGTGGCACAATCTCGGCTCATTGCAGCCTCTGCATCCCGGGTTCAAGCAATTCTTTTGCCTCAGCCTCCCTGAAACTCATAGGCATGTGCCACCATGCCCGGCTAATTTTTGTATTTTTAGTACAGACGGGGTTTCACCATATTAGCCAGGCTGGTCTTGAACTCCTGACCTCGTGATCTGCCCACCTTGGCCTCCCAAAGTGCTGGGATTACAGGTGCATATACATTATCTGTGATAAAAGAAATATTTCAAAATTTATTTTTGCATAAAGGTAGAGATTTACAAGATTCTTAGAAAGGCTGATCTGACCTTAAGACACAGAATCCGATTTGATGAGATGAGAGAATTCATGCTTTCAAATCAGCAGTTAGCAGTTCTAGAAAATATCTGCATCCCTGTGAGGACTTTTCAAAGAGATGGTGATTTAGGACAATGAATAATCAGTGAAGAAAAGGAAAGGGATTTCCCAGAACAGAATCATACAGTGAAGATATTAAAATGAAAGAAGTTTGGTGCCCCAAATGTATTCCCTAGGCCTTGTTCAACTGCAGCACAACATTATTATTATGGTATGTGAGGCTTGCCAGTGGTTTATGCCTTACTGAGAATTACTTTACTCAGCTGCGGCCTTGTATGGTGAGGAGTCCTTTCGACTCACCAAAAAGAGAGAGAAAAAAAAGTCCTGTTGTCAAGAGAACCTGGAGTCCCTCCAAAAGGTGCCCCACTGATTCAAAAGCCAGACACTCCCTTGTCAACAAAGGCATCTCACGGCTAAAAGTCTGGAGGGCAAATTGCACTTGGCTCATTGCTAAGTCTTAATCATAGACCCTATTTATTCGATTCTTACTGACATTAATGTGAAGTATCAGCAATTTTGCTTCTCAGACAGAATCCATGGATTTAATTTTGTCATTTTTTTTAGTTGTGCAATCAGAAATTCATTCATAGGAGGAAAAATCAGTTAATACCTATGGAAAAATGCAAAAGAAAGCCGTTGTCAGCCTGATTGCTTTTTGGCAAAGGCTGAGTTCAAGATTTACCAATGAAAGCCCAATTAAGTGTCACCTGAGAGAATGTTAGCAGAGCTAAAGAGCATTACCAAGCCCAGACTGGCATTTCAGTTACCTTGTAAGGTATTTCAGAGAAAATTACATCTATGTAAACACAAGGCTGTGTATCACTACATTGGTAAAACAGTAGTTTCTAAAACAGCTTTACTCTGATTTCTGAAGCCACAAGAAAAAAGAAAAGACAACAGAAAGCAAGTAATTTACCTTTTTAGGAAGTGATCTTGAGCAAATGTTAGTTGAATCTTCTCAAGGAACATCTGGCTTGGATTCAGCTACCCAGGGCAGAACAAAATAAGTGAAAGGCCTTTAGATCAGGTGTTTCCCAGGATGGAATTTAAATTCAGCTTCTTTATCCTGCCTGCTCTTTAATCACCTATCTTAGATCAAACTTTCTGGCTCCAGGTTTAAAAGCATCTTTAGAATACCAAGGTGCTCACATTTAGCCCCTTTCTCACTTTCTCCTTTCTTTTTACTTCCTGTGTTCTTTGTGTATGTATCGGTCCCCCATTAGAAGATTATAATTACATTTGAAGACAGGGGCTATGTCTTATTCATCTTTGTACGTCCCTTCTTCAACCCTCGTCTGATGTGTTTGCTCATATACACTTTTCTTTTGTTAAAGAAAAATAAATATAGTTAGAGGCAAATACAAATTCTCCACTGTTTTAACTGCTACTGAGAAAATGATAGGAGATTATTAATTTGTGAAGCAGTCAACTTCCTTTTTTAATAGAATGAGTAGTAGATGAGGATATTTATATTTCAAGTGCAAATAAAATTTGCCTCAAAGGATTTTGATATGTTTTTGTCTCTAAAAGGAGCAACAGCCTTTTTGTGATGTACATGTCAAGATAAATCTAGAAAGGGCCAATGGAGTTATTTTATTTAAGGAGAATAGCCTCAGTGGTAACTATCAATACCTTAAAGTTTCTATATCTTACCAGTAAACTGAATAAAATGCTCTTTTCTTTATAGCTGCCGCTAATGGAGTTGGACTCATGAGTGAGGGAGAAAGTGCCTGTGAATGACATCATTATACATCATACGACAGTTTTTTTCTTTCTTTTATTCACTTGTCTTTCTTTTATCTCAACTGATGGTATACCATACACAGTCTTCTAAGCCTTGCTTTTTTTCTTTGAGAGTCTTCTATGTTAGTTCATAAAGAGGTGCCTCTTGCTTGTTAGGGGTTGTATGGAAATGTGCAACTTAATAAGCTGTTGCATGTCAGTTCCAGTCTCACCCTTCAGACACTGCAAATCACATGGCCAGCTCCCTGTTCTGTTTGCCAAGAAAGGAGGTTAGGGAAAGACTGGGATGCTCTGTTTTGCTTGCTGTTCCTCCCCGCAGCACCTGAACAGTGATCTTCTATCCCACAGTGGCAGTCTCCAGCTTTTCTCTTTTCCAGATGTTCCCAGAGGCAGTCTCATTTTGTCCCCTCAGAGGCACTCCATCCGTGGGACAGTGGCCCTGTCTCAGTGGTCTGACCAACTCAAGGAGGACTCTCCTACAAACCTCCTCATTCTAGTAACCTCAACATTTTCCTTTTGTTCTCTCAGTCTTACAGTATGAGCTGCTTCCTGGAGTTCCTCTTCTTTCGCCTTTTGGCTTTAAGTTCTCCAATAACTAATGAACCAATAGCTTATATTAAGTTCTCTTTGTTGAAATGCCTAGTGTACGGTCTATTTTCCTAGCTGGACCTAACATATCCATGCAGAATCAGAAGGCCCAAAGGAGCAGAACAGTCTGCGCTACTCTTTGGATTTGGATGAACCGTAATCTGTTTGACTAGTTCTCTCTAAATTGTAACTTTTGTAACTAGAAACAGTACATTAAACAACCTTAAATGAATACTTTTTTCACATATATGTGAGTCTATCTGTAAGATAAATTTAAAGAACAGGGACTCCTGGATCAAATTGCCAAAATGCCCTTCATAGAGGTTGTGCAAATTCAGTCTCTCACAAGCAATAGACAGAAATCTATTCATATGAGAAACAGAGAAATCAACGAAGGGAAGAGTGTCATACCATTGTCCCAGTAAGAGGGCCTTAGCTAGTGGAAAGGAGAAGCACAGCATGAGATCTGTCACTTGAGGAATTACCCTTTGGCTTAGACTCCATGGACTTCATTTTGAGCCCTTTGGCGATGAGAAAGGCTAAAATACAAATGAAAAGAAGGTTCTCTAAGATATAGTGTTACTCACTTCAAAGAGGGTAACGTAAAAAGGAGAGGTGCTTTGCCAGAGATTACCACCAATGCCAGGCAATTTGAGGAGTGGCTGTGCCCAGTTGCTATGCCCAGACTCAGTACCAAGCTAAAGTGACTGTGATAGCCAGCAGCAAGAGTGACACCTACAGATGCATGGTTATTGGAACAAGCAGCAGTGCTGCCCAGCATATGCTATGTGGTTGCTGCCAGCACATGTGTAACACCTCCTAGGGACTCCCCAAAAAATGGATGGAACTTTGTAGGGTACTGGGTACTGTTTCCTGTAGTAGCAGACAAGATAAGAGCTGGTAAAACAGGCTACAAAACTCATTTACTAAGGTTGTCACTTTTTTTTTCTTCCATTTCTATATCTTTGCCTCTTAAACTTGGGGAGGCTTTTGTTTAACAACAGTAAAGTAAAATCTTCTTCCTTAAGTCTTTATGATACTTCTCCAGCAAGCCTGGGATGTGACTGAGTTATTTTTACCATCTGCTGTTTGGTTTTCTGTCATTTACTCCCTGTTTAGCAGAGCTCTTCTGCAGTGATAACTGCCCTTGTTTTGCAGACAGGCTACATTCTACACACTTGCTCTTGCTGATTTCACCTTAGCATTTTGTGGTAACAAAGCTGTGTGCACAACCAGAGTTGTGCCTTTCTTACTCTATAAGATGGGCTGCCTTCCTGCAGATGACTTTTGTTTTATGATCCACTGTGTCTTGTTTGTGCCATTCTTAATTTACACGACAGAGATGCTGTCATCACCAATTAACATTAATCAAGGGCCCCCTGGATGCATGGCTGCATTGGGACTAATTTAATATGCTCTTTGTTCCAGATATCAGGTGGCTTCTTCAAATGCATTTTTAAGTATCTCAGTGATGATGAAGAAGAACGGATACATCAATCAGGATTCAGGAAGACAGCTTTTGCAGAAAATGCTTAAAGGGAAGCATCAAGCATTGGTGTTGATATTTGAAAGTTTAAGAGAGGTATACTTTTATTCAGTCAACACATGACAAATGTAAAAGGCACTCATTTGTTGTTCCTGGAACAAGCTTGGCAGCATTCCATTTAGACATCTGCCCTTTCATCGTCCCACTTTTTACTTATTTCAGTCCTTTCAGTCTGAATATTTCCTCCTGAGGCATTTTTCTGCCCTCAGAAATGACTCCCTGCTCCCAGTTCCTGTAGCCTTTATCATACACACCTTTCACTTCGAAATTTAGCACGTCACATTACACCATTATTGAATAAATATATATCCTTCCCAAGTGTATCAGAGAACTATCTGGACAATTTGTTTCTTTCCCAATTCTCAGAATCAGCAGTGTTCTGTCAAGAAATATTTATCGACGATGATGGCAATAGTCGATTAAAATAAGATGAAGTTTCATTTTTAAAAAAAGGTTGAGAGGAGAGACAAGGCTGAAGGTTTGGAAGTTGAGACTCACAAGCATCTTTAATAAACGTTTTCTCATCTAAGCGCTGTATGTACATCATTTAGGGGAGGGTAGAGATTGAGGGAGGAAGAACATCACTGGAGGAAGAGACAGCAGTTTTCGAGTTTCAATAAAGCTTCAAAAATCCTGCCTAAGCTATATTTATTTTTTGGCCTTTCCCCTTTGATGTGACAATAAACTGTAATGCGGCTGTCAGTTGTACGAACCGGTATTCAGCAGAATAGATCTGAACACTTTCCTTTCAGAAAAAGAAGCGTTCGGTTCTGTCATAGATTTTAGAATGAAGAACACACTGGGCCAGCGAGGCTGGCGGCCGGCGAATTCCACCAGCAAGTAGACGCATTGCTGCGCTGGAGCCCGCGAACCAGGGACCGGTCCACCCAACCCAGGAAGGCATCCCCGGGGTCCCGCCCAGCCCGGTTCCGGGAGCCTTATTGGCCGGCCTTCCGCCCGCCATCTCTATCAGCCCCCGGGATTTGGCACAAGCGGTAGGCGGCTCCCTTTCGGTCACTCATTGGTCAAATCCTAATGGAGGTAAGGCACTCTACGAGTTTCTATTGGTCCCTAGGCTCCAAAATGGGCGGGGAAAAACAGAGCGACAGGGCTCTAGGAGGGAAGCGCGGAGTGCGCCGGCGCGTAGTCGGGGACGCCGTGCCGAGGGTTTGCTAGGGAACAGACTGTTACCGCCCCGCCCCCTCGGAGCTTTTTGTCCCGTTAACTGTCGGAGTGGCGGGGGCTCCGGCGCCGGGCGACATGCCGGTGCGCTTCAAGGTGAGGCTGGGGTCCCCGGGCCGGAAGGTGGCTGGGGGGAGCCACGGCTGGGGAGGTGCGGAGCGTCGAGGTCGCGCTGCTTTTCAGCTCTGCAGCCCTCGGCCCGGCAGAAGCTGCCAGCCCCAGGGCCTGCCTGAGGGGCCCCAGAATCTGTCCGCCACTTCTTACCTAGTTCTCTCTCCGCTCACTCACATTTGCAAGTTGCCGTGTGCCGAAGAGTCAGATGATGCGAGACAGATTTACTTAAGGGGACTCGAGAGGAGTGTAGATGGGAGGAGGCCACTTTGCGAAGAGAACTAAAGGCGACTTACGTTTGGGACACCTGTGGGCCATTTAGCTTAGCATTTAACCCCCATTACCTTTAAAACTTTAGTGTATGTGGCTTTTAAAGGCTTGAGAAATGGGTTCTTAGTAAAGATAGGGTATAAAGAAATACACATTTTTCATCGTTGTGCATTCTTAGGGTATGTTAAAAGTTCCAGGTAGCTGGTAGCTGTCAGGGACTAGCACCCTGCAACTTAACAGGTGGCCACAGCGTCCCACACCTCCTGACTCATTTATCTTAAAGGCGTGTATTCAGAATGGAAGGGGAGTTTGCCTTTTGTTGACTTTACCAAATAGCAAAAGGTCCTAGGCATAATACATAATATTGTGTACTCGGTGAAAACCTGGGATAAATCTAGTGGAGTGATCAGAATTTAGATTGTCACTAGTTATCCGACAAGAACTCATGCTTTGGAATCAGATAATCAGTGAAAGGGTAACCTCTGAGCCTGGTATTCCTGGTAGCATCTGCCCCAAGTGGTGTTGAGGCTTAAAGGATGTAACTCGTGTGAACTGCTTAGCACAGGGCTGGGTGAATATTAGCTCTTATTAAGGAGCTCGTCTGTGTTTAATTTTCAGTCTTAAGTCTCTTTGGAGGTTCAGAAATTATTTTTCACTGATGTCTGCTTTAAAACATCATTCATTAATTGCCCTGTACTCAAAGTGTACTTTCTTTACAGGGGCTGAGTGAATACCAGAGGAACTTCCTGTGGAAAAAGTCTTATTTGTCAGAGTCTTGTAATTCCTCCGTGGTGCGAAAGTACCCATGGGCTGGACTTAGATCAGATCAATTAGGTAAGTTGAGCAAGCTAATAGCCATTCTAACCTGGGCTAAGTTTATAACTTGGGCTAAGCCATTATAACTTGGGCTAAGTAAACCTTGGGCTAAGTTTGCCAAATGATATATTAAAAGTTCAGTTGGCCTGGTTGATTTATTCATTTATTAATCAAATATTTATTGAAGGTTTACTATGAGCCAGGACTATTCCCAGCAGCTAGTGTGGCCAGCCAGGTTTCACTAATGGAGGCCTCCATCACAACTGTTTCAGTACTGACTGAGTGGTAAAGTTAAATATTAAAAGCTAAGAAAAGCCAGTGCCCTTACACAGAGGCTGGGGAGTAACAAAAGCCCATCAAGAGTTTTGCCTAGGCCTTTCCTGGGCCGTAAAGCATGACAAAATAAGGAATTCTTAACAGGATCCATTTAGGATTAAACAAGTTTTAATGGGGGTCTGCAGAAACTCCCCAGGCCTCCACAAACAAATTTATTGGCGGTCTGAAGGAACTCCTCGAACCTCCGTGATTCAGCAGGAGACAAGATAAGGGTAATCAGCCCAGCACCTAGACGCATTTAGATAAAGTAAGTTTACTGATGCTCCAGAAGACTCAGACCTTACTTATAGATTGAAAGAAGTTAATCACTTACATCCTTAGATGAATGCACACTTACACGTGGACGTATAGCTTAGAAGGTATATCAGCTCTGAAAAACTTTGTAATTTGGGGTTGGTCTGGTGATAATTTCCAGGCCTTCTCCCCGTAACTGGTTATAGAAATAAAAACTTTCTTTCTCCCTAGTTCATCTGCATCTCGTTATTGGCAGAGAGAAATATCAGCCCGACCCTCAATTTGGTCTGGGAACACTAGGGATATAGCCCTGAACCAAAGTACCTTAACTGTGGAGAGAAACAGTAAGCAAGTCACTCAATAAATAAGGGAATTTCAGGTTTTTATGTAAAATTGTAGGGAAGTGTGATAGATAACATGCAGGAGGGGTAGACTGGAGGGAAAACGCTTTAGATTAGATGGTTGGGAAAGGCTCATTTTGAGGAGGTGATATTTGAGCTGAGACCTGAAAGCTGAGGGGAAAGTGCTGGGGAAGAGTTCTCCCAAGGTCTTGAGAAATGGAAGCTTAGGGAGATTAGGTCGCTGCCCCAGCTTTACAGCTAGTAAGTGGCAGAACCATGATTTGAAATCAAGTCTGTTTTGTGCAAAGCACGCGATTTCAGAGGTCATGTTCTTGTTATCACACATGCCTCCTCCCTGTGTCCCGGGGAAGTCAGGTTCCTGGGCCAGGGTTTCCCAGAGGGTGACAGAACAGAAAGGAGACAGACTGACTTCATTATACCTGCTTGTTTAATTCTTCCTTACTAGTATATTACATCTCTGAGAGTAGGGCTCTGTCTTATCCACCACCTTGTTCCTACGCAGTACCTAATACAGGCCTTGGAACAATCTATTGCTTCTTGAAACTAATTTTTGAATGAATGAATAAGCCGAAATTTGAATCCACAATAGCTGTTGGGCAAATTGAGCTAGTTTCACCAAGTGAGATTTTAGGAAGCCTGTTACATAGGATTGCTGGGAGGGTTTAAATGAGATGTTGCCTATTAAGGGCCTGGTTCATGTACACAGATCAGTGCTTGGTGCCCCACATGTGATGTGTGCGAGCATGACAGATAAGTCACATAAATGTTAGATGTTTGAAGCCAGGAAAAGACTTATGGGTAGGGTACCAAGCCTGGGAAGTTAGTAAGATGAGGAGGTATTTTCAGAATTAGGTTTGGAGTACAAAGGGAAGAGTGGGCAAGAGTGGGTGTCTCTTTTAGGGTTCCTCTGAAGCATCATGATCTGACCCAGTGCCAAACTTCAGAGACTGGGTGTCCCTGCTTCTCTGGCAGGGTGCTAGGAAAATCCCTCTGCTCATAATCCTCTTTTTACAAATGACTAGAAATTCCACATATTTGAGCCTCCATTAGATTAAGAATCCAAATAAATCTCTGTTTAAGCATAGATACCCCACCCTGCTGAGCGCCTACAAGGCTATTATGACACTGGAAAATTCATTAAACTGGGTAGTTGTCCAATAACATTTCAGCTTAGATCAGCTGCATTTGAGGGGAAGGTGATGAAATGAGACCATGAGAGCAAAGCCACCTTAGAGCATAGTATATAATGAAGGAAGGAGTGGACTAGGGGAGGAACGTTAGTGGGGAATTTTAGGTCATGGGGAGGGACTGAGCAAGAACTCCAGAATGCTCAGAATGGGAGGTGGGAGGTTAGCAAAAAACAACAGCAGTGTTACCCAGGATGGCTGTCCCTTCTTTTAGAGTAGTGTATTTTTATCCTGGGGATTTGCTGGTGCTGAGAGGCAACAGCAGACCACTTGAGAATTTTCTTTCATTTTGCTCTTCCACCAAAAACCTGCCTCTGTGTTAAAGCAGAGAGGAGTCTAATTGGTGATCTTCAAGCTTTTTAGCTTTTATACTTCTAGAAAAATTTAGAAAAACATTGTGCCTCATCACAATGTTGTGCCTCATCACAATGTTTTTCTAAATTGCTATTTTTTATCATAAGTTTTTATGAATAGTTTTGAATAATAGAATTTCTGGTATATTGCATAGTGCTTATATGTTTTACATATATTTTGTAAAAACTCTGGAACTGCCAGTTTAGCCCATTCAATTTATGGAAAATGTTTATCATGCAACTGGCAAAGTCAGTATTCATTGGCAAACTAACCGGCCAAATTAGAATTATTTTCTGTGAGAAAAAAGTCTGTTTATCTTTAATTAAGGTAAATGTGTTAATATGCATATGTACATTTCACATGATATCCCTCTCATACCTGAATTTTAATACTAAGAAGGAGATGGAAAATCCATGGAGCTATATGAAATAAGATACTGTTCCTTTGTTATTTCTAATCTCTGTCTGCTTTGCTTTGCTGTCAAATATTCTCCCTCAGGGATATGCTTTCTTGAATTGTCCCTTTGTTTGGCTTCCTACCCCTGAGGTTTTGTTCTACCTTGAGGGGATGCGCTGGAGTAAGTTTCAGGCTGGTTAAGAGGTGTGTCTGTCTTCTGTAAAGTGGGAAAAGGGAGATTATGAAAGGGGTGGTGGGAGATGGAACTGCAGATGGCAGATGCAGCTCTCAGGCAGACAGATCAGCGTCAGGCAAGAGAGCACACACATATGGAGTTGAGGATCTGGAAAATGATTCCCTTAAGCCGCCCACTTCTGTTTACCCTCCACATCTTTGTGTGCCTCCAGACAGATACCCAGCCAGTGTGAAGACCTGTGGTCTAGGGAAGCCTTTTAAAAGGGTGGGGACCCGGGGTGACATGGCCAGCACATCTACAACAGAGGCTAAGGAGTCCTGGGTTCTACCTCATGCCCAATTTTCTTTCCACCTTCCTTTTCCGTTCTGGTCTTAATCTTCCTTCTCCACCCTGCAGCCGTCTTAAAGATGGCCCTAAACTAGGGCAGTCTCTCAGTGGCTGTCATTCTGCAGAGCTGCTCTTACCTCCATAGGTGGTTAAGTTTTTGGACCTTTGCTTTCCATACAGAAATATAGAGAAATTGTATCTTAGCTGTTGTTAAAAAGGCTTCTTCTTTTTTTTTTTTTTTTGAGACAGTGTCTTGCTCTGTCGCCCAGGCTGGAGTGCAGTGGCACAGTCTCGGCTCACTGCAAGCTCTGCCTCCTCGGTTCACGCCACTCTCCTGCCTCAGCCACCCGAGTAGCTGGGACTACGCGCCCGCCACCATGCCTGGCTTTTTTTTTTTTTTTTTTTTTTTTTTGTATTTTTTAGAAGAGACGGGGTTTCACTGTGTTAGCCAGGATGGTCTCGATCTCTTGACCTCGTGATCTGCCTGCCTCGGCTTCTCAAAGTGCTGGAATTACAGGCATGAGCCACTGCGCCCGGCCTATTCTTTTTTAATTCTCAGGAAATCAAGGCAGATGTAGAACCAAGATCCAGCACAATGACATCTCATCCCTTCTCATCTTGGTCTGCTCCACTTAAGAGAAGCTTTGTGAAAAGTTCCAAATTTTGACAGTACCAGGGCCCATTGTTCTGTTAAGTAGCACAGGAAAGTAATTAGAAACGAGGCAGCATGTACTGCCTGGCTTGCCAGGTCTATCATGTTGCAATTCTAGTGACTTTTGTTAGGATAACTGGAACATTGTGACCCACTGATTTTTAATTTTTTGTTATGGTTAAATTTTTAATGCTTTTAAAAGCAAAATTAAATATTTTATGTTGAAAAGTTGTACTTTTAAAATCCTATATTCTGAAGGATATTGTGTGTATATATAGGTACATATATCTGAACTAAATTTTAAATTTCATTTCTCCTTCACAAGTGTTCTTAAAAGTTGTCTTTGTAACTTTTTGCTTTGGTAGCTACTAGTTTTGTATACCGTGTTTTGTAGGGATCACGAAGGAGCCAAGTTTTATTTCAAAAAGAAGAGTCCCTTACCATGACCCACAGATTTCAAAATCTCTGGAGTGGAATGGAGCTATCTCAGAGAACAATGTGGTCGCATTGCCAGAACCAGAAGCCCCGGAAACACCAAAATCACAAGAAGCAGAGCAAAAGGATGTTACTCAAGAAAGAGTTGACTCACTAGAAGCTTCCAGGGTTCCCAAAAGAACCAGATCTCACTCTGCAGACTCCAGAGCTGAAAGGGCTTCAGATGTTGTGGAAAATAATGAGGGTGTAACAAACCATATACCAGTTAATGAAAATGTGGAACTGGAACATTCTACCAAGGTTCTTTCAGAAAATGTAGATACTGGGGTAGGCATATTCACTGCATTTCTTTTCAAAAACATAGAATTCTTTGTTGGTTTCATCGTCATTTCTGTAATGTTACATTTTGTGTTTCAGAATTTTCCATTGTTGTTTTCTTGTCTAATGTCTATAAGAATAGTTGATAACAGGCTGTTGACTTTAGTTGTTGTGAATTAGTTCTATTCTTACTACTCGCTATTTTGTAGTAGTTATGCTATGATATCCCTTTATTGGATGGACCTCCTATGTCTGGATTTTATTCATCATGTATTAGCACCTGAGTCCCAAGGGAGAGATCAAGTTGAGACAGAGAAGGGAAGTAGGCCCTTACTTCTGGCAGGGTGCTGAGCTGACTTCTATCTAGCCCCTTTTCAGTTTCTTATCTGTACAAGAAGACAGACAGAAACTCAATTGATGAAATGCAAAAGGAAGGAGAGCTCTGGCTGTCTCTCAGAGATCTTGCATTTTTGCTCTCATGTCACAGCTGGCCTGCAGCAGGTCCTTGTGAGCACATAAGCAGAGGCTACCGGAACTTGCATGGGGATCTCAATGCCTTCCACATTTCTTTCTCCATTCTGTTCCACTGCTCTTCTCTGGTTCATGTCCACCACTGACTGGGACTCTGAAGAGGCATTTCAGAGTGTTGGAGAAGAATCCATAGCTTGTTGAAAAAGCTGGGGGTAAAAGGGAACAAGGAAGGTGATGTGTGTCTGGCAGGCAGGAGAAGGGGTGTTCACAGAAGCAGTGTGCAGATGAGGCAAAGTGCTGGGACTTTTTGGTAATAGATTTAATTATGAATGATTAGTAGGAAAGGACTGAGAGTATTATATTTTTCCTGGGATGCCTAATAGTCCTTTGATAGAAAGGAATTTTAAATGGTTTGACACTTGAAAAAAGATACTATTTATAAGTTAAAGTTTGCTGTACCACAATGCGCATGTAGTTTACAATTTTGTACTGTAGACTGAACATTTTGTTAAGAGGATAGATTTTTGTGTTATGCATTTTTTTACCACAATTTTAAAAAAGTTTGAATAGAAATTTTTAATGTCTTTGAGTGGATTTTTGTTTTGAACAGTTGGATAGACTTCTGCGTAAGAAAGCTGGATTGACTGTTGTTCCTTCATGTAATGCCTTGAGAAATTCTGAATATCAAAGGCAGTTTGTTTGGAAGACTTCTAAAGAAACTGCTCCAGCTTTTGCAGCCAATCAGGTAGTTTAATGGATGTAATACATTTCTGAGTACCATTATCTTATCTAGTAATGTAGATTTACATAGAATTAAGAGTTGCAAGAAATTAGGTACTTAAGTAGCCTGGAGGTAGGTTCTAGAAAACCAAAGTGAGAATTTTGCTAAAATCGTCCTGTTACTTATGATTTATGGTAGTAATATTATACTGTCCTAGGCTACTGATGATCATTGTTGCCAGATGCAGCACATATACTAAATATGAGACAGGGTAATGAAAACTTGGGGAACTGGTAAGTTTTTGCATGCTATAAGATTTTTTTACTTAATAAAAAATTATTAAATTGATTTTATTCTAAAATGTGTTTTGTTGACTAATATATTGCATGTTTTGTGTATTCTAAGAAAAGCATAACTGCTTTGAATATTTATTTTAATAAATACAAAATATGTTGACAATAACACAAGATACGTAATTTTGTCCTTATATCAGACAAATAGTAATAGGCATTGTCGGTATAACTATATTTGTAAAATTCAGAAGCTGTAATGATGTGGTTTTAGATTTCATTATAGTCCTGCACAGTTTTAGTGTTGAGATACCATTACTAATAAATAGTCTGTTGTTTTACTACCTTCATCCCTTAGGCAGTTCTTAGGCTTTAAACTCTCATTTATGTTCTTAACAGTACTTCTAGGCAGAGACAGGAAATACCTCCACTTGTAATATCCCCAGAGACCTATAATGGCTTAGTCTGTTTTTTCTTCTGGTCTTTGTGTTTTTCTTTATAAATATACACACTTTCACACACCCTTACATTCATTTTCTCCTGTACATCAGCATTCACTTATGTATTGTGTATAGCCCTAAGAACTGACGGGATAATTAGATTCAGCAAGACAATAACATCTAGTCATCTTACATTAAGATGAAAAAAACACCAGTGATCCTATAAATCGTGGCAGCTTTGGGCTTATTCAATTTTTAAAATACCTTTGAAATTTATATAACATTTTAAGAAGCTATGAAGTAACAAAATGATAAGTACCCGTTATTAACCTAGTGAATAGGATCAGTACTTCTTTTGCTTACCTACAGGGTTTTTTGGAGATTAAGTGTATCTAAAACATTATTTACAACATAAAAATTGTAATTATTCAGTTTTTTATAGAGTGTTTGACCTTGAAGATAGAGCTGATTCAAATGAAATCATATCGTCAACAAATAGGGCTTTTACATGTCAGTGAAAGCGTTGTGTAGAAATGTTACATTTATGAGAGAAATCACTAGCGATATATTCATTGGTAGTTTTATTGCTTTCTTTAATGTGTTTCACAAGCTTTTTTTTTTTTTAGAAGGAATTGCTCATTGTTCAAAGCATGTTGAATTTAGAGTCTATGGATTGAAGAGCTTTGAGACAGCTTTCAATGCTTGTTGATAGGAAACCTCTAAAAAGGTTGTTCATTTCTATTTTGTCAGACACCTGCTTTCTGAAAGGATGTCTTATATTAATATGTAAAGGAGTCAGAACAGTTTTTGGCAGGAGAGTCCTTGAGGTTATACTGTACTAAAATAGATAAACTGTTTAGATCTGATCTGTATGAAGATACCCTATTCAGCATTACAAAGCAGTAATATAACTTGTTTGAGTTCCCTGTCTTTTCCATTTGCTTTCCTTGTAATCAGTGGTAATATGCTGTGAAATAGAAACCATACTGTGAAATAGGATAAAAGGAAACATTTAACAATACAAGTGTAGTAATTGCTCAGAACATCTTCTTTGCCTTAATAAAATGTGCTGAAAATAAGCCAAGGGAAGAAAAGCTAAACAAATTCAACATATTGGGTGTTCGAAAATGTCAAGAACTTTCTATTAAGGCAGGAATAAAAAAAATCATGTCAGGGAGGAAGAAAAAAACCTGTAGAACTGACAACAGAGTTGCCTTAAAGCTACTGTCTGTGTCATATGAAAATATGCCAATATTTATTTTGGTTATAAGCTATATTTTGATTATAAAACTATTATTCAAAACATGGTAATGAGTATATAAAGTTGACCTTTGGATGTTAATAATATATGTGAAATGAAATTAAAATCATATATAACTTTGCTATTTTTTTTGTCCTGTAATTCAACTTTATGTATGTTTTGTTAAGTAATTGAAGACCGAAGTTCTGCATATTTAATGAACAAAACTAAACTAAGATAATTTTTGTTTTAAGGTTTTCCACAATAAAAGCCAGTTTACTCCACCATTCAAAGGTAACTCAGTCATCCATGAAACTGAATACAAAAGAAATTTCAAGGGTTTATCTCCAGTGAAAGAACCAAAATTAAGAAATGATTTGAGAGAAAACAGAAATCTTGAAACAGTATCTCCTGAAAAGAAGGTATTCATCAACTTTTAACCTTACCAAACAAAATCTCCATTATTTTAGATTCTCCACATTTTCTTTTGCTTACTACCACCTGGGAGTTTTTAGTTTTCACTAGTTCATTAATTCATTTGTTCATCAAATGTTCATTGAGCCAGCTACTAGGAGCAGACGTGGGTTGGTACTGAGAATACAAGGCTGACAAATAGCCCCAAGCAGCTCTTGGGCTAGTGGGGAGACAGACATAAATAAAAATGATACAGCATGTTGAGTACTTAACAGTGTAGGAGGTAAGTCTAATACGGTTAATATCAAAGTCTAGTAAGTTTAATATCAAATGACTGGATTTATAGTAACTTCCTGGGGTAACAGTAGTGCTAGAAATACTTGTTTTAAGTTATGGGAATTAAACACATACATACTCACATGTATTTTATTTTTATTTATTTTTTCAAGACGGAGTCTTGCTCTGTCACCCAGGCTGGAATGCGGTGGCATGATCTTGGCCCACTGCAACCTCTGCCTCTCAGGTTCAAGCAATTCTCCTGCCTCAGCCTCCTGAGTACCTGGGACTACAGGTGCATGCCACCATGCCTGGCTAATTTTTGTATTTTTAGTAGAATCGGGGTTTCACTATGTTGGCCAGGCTGGTCTCGAACTGCTAGCCTCAGGTGATCCGCCCACCTTGGCCTCCCAAAGTGCTGGGATTACAGGCGTGAGCTGCCACACCTGGCCATCACAAGTAGTTTAAACCAAAGTGTTAGCATGCCAGATTATGGCCAGTATAATTCATATGATCTACCTCAGAATATACAAACAACAGCTTCTGTGTGATATTACAGCCATTTAAGCTGCAGAATCAGGCTAACATGATTATAAATTACAGGTAATTGGGGTATAAATACTATTTTTTAATCTCCTGGAATGTTGATACCTGATATTTTATGGGTCCTAAAAATAGTATAAAGTTAAGTTATAAGTAAATATGACTAAAAGTAAAATGATTTATATACCCACATATATTAGACCTATGATATTATCGGAGAAAAAAACAGAATTGTTATTCAGTAAAGCGATTTGGTAACTAATTCATCAGGATCCTATGTTTAATTACTGTAATGCAATTGTAAATTTAGAATATCAAGTTCAGTGTATGGTAACATTATTTAGATATGTATTTGTTAACTTAAAAGTTTTCTTCCTTAGCCAAAGATCTAAAATCTTTATTGTTAGAAAATGAAGCTATATCCTCAGCTAAACTTCAAAAATAACTAACCAAATATAATAAAAATTTCAAAACTTGTTTGTTGATTTCTTATTTTTGTTTTCTTCAGTATCTAAAGCTTCTAAAAATAGAAATGTCATTAAATATTCAAGTCTAACTTTATAACATCCATGTTTTCACTTTAATGTGTAACATTTTAAGCATAAAAAGCTTAAATTATTTCCATTTCAGAGTAATGAAATAGACGATCCTTTAAAATTGGAAGCAGAGATGGAATTAAAAGACTTACACCAGCCTAAAAAGAAGCTTACTCCTTGGAAACATCAAAGACTTGGGTATGTATTTTAATAGAAAAATATAGTATTTCAGTGATCAACATAGTGAAATATTTACTTTCATTTCATTCCTATTAGGAAGGTGAATTCCGAATATAGAGCAAAATTTCTGAGCCCAGCTCAGTATTTATATAAAGCTGGGGCTTGGACACGTGTGAAGGGAAACATGCCAAATCAGGTGAGTGTACGTGAGCTCAATAAGCCCACATGTTCTTTCAGCCTCTATTAACACTTTAATTTCACAATGAGTTCCATTTGGTAATAGAGACCACAATTTAAAGAAGTATGATATAATAATAGCACTAATAGTATCAGGAACTTATGTATTAGGATGTAAATTATCAGTGTGTTTTTTTTTAATGCCACTGGCTCTTCAGCAATTACTATTCATTGAGGTCTTTTAAGTTAACACTTTTTACCATCAAACATTTGATTGTGTTAATAGATTGAATTTATAGAATTGTATCATTATAGATTCGATTATTTCATAACTTTCAGACCTCCACTCTCTCAACTGAAGATTAAATAATTTGTCTGATAGTGATGCCCATTGTCAGTGTGTACTCTTACAGTTTGTAGGCAAAAGAAAGATACAGCTTATGTGGTTAGAGGTGTGAGCTACAGGTTGGGGTACTCTAATGTGGGAGAAACTGGGGATCTGAAGATAGGTTTGAGGGGAAGGGTAATTCTAGAGTTGAGAAGTGCTACTTTAGTACTAGCTTCTTATACTCAAAGGATAGAGAATGGAACATTTTTATTATTGTATTAGCATCTTTCAAATCGTATCTTGACTTTTTTTTTAACTTTTCTGAGAGAACAAGCTACATTAAAATGTTTCTGTTTAGATTAGACATTAGTAAACATCCCACTTCCCCCTGTCATTGTAAACAGAAGGATAATTTGGATGGGGAATGGGTCTTTTATTTAGCTCATTACTTAAAACCATGGCCCACAATTATGTGTAATCAGCCTCTGGGGGAAAGGGCTGGTGCTCCGTGCTCGGTGCTCGGTGCTCAGTGCTCAGTGCTCTGAGCTGCTGGTTCTTTGAACTGCAACTCCCAGACACATGTCCTAGTGACTGTCATGCTGTCTGCATATTGTTTCAGGAGGTCACTTGATTCCTTCCACCGTGGCCACTCTTTTGCTTTCTACTTCTCTATTTGAGCATATCTTGAAGACAGCACAGGCAAGTAAAAGACAAAGCTCAAAGCTGTCCCAGATATTATCTGGGGCAATGTTCATATAGTCCCCTTAGTGAAATCAAGTTAAAACTAGGAGTGTCGAAAGTACCCATGATGGAAGAAAGGCAGTGAGTCAGCTAAACTCTTGAGCAGTTTGTGACCATCCCAAGTCTTGGCAAAGATCTCCCTGACTGAGGAATCTGATAGTGGGAGTGAGGAAAAGCAGGACAGAGGCAGAACAGTGTGTGGCCAGTAAATCGGTGTCAGCTGCTGGCCTGTTGTGTTTAGGCATGACACTAGGTTGAGGTTATGAGAAACTCTTTGTTTTGGAAGACTGTGTTTTCTCTGAGATTTCTACACTCGATCTTGGCCAAAAGACCAAGAAGCAATTTCTTTAAGATGAGTTTAGGCGTCAGAACTAAACATCTAATTGAGAAGATTTGTTAAAACTGAAGTAATAGTAAGATGAGATTCCTTATCCTGCCTTGATGGACAAGAACATTGTTGTTGTCAATAGACTTTTCAAGGTTTCCTATTATGATATCTTGGTAATGTTGCTTTTTTTGCTTATTAAAGACTATATTGGTGGTTGTAAATATTTAAATTAGTGGTATAGTTTGCCTTAATTTCTTTGAGAAAAATAATTCAGAAAGTAAATTGAAGTTAGAAAAGAATAAGAATTTTTAGCTAAGAAGTCAGTGATCATTGATGATAACAGTTTTAGTTGACCAGGTTATAGGCATTTAATATGGGCCATGTTTTACTTAGATCTCTTGGAAGTCATTTACTATAGGCAGCTGATTATGAGGTTCCTAAATATAAGGTACAGTACTCCTTCATTTTCCCACTCCTAACATTCCAACACTTACGACTAACAAAGTCATAAGTGACTTCGTTGTTGGAATATTAACTCACTTTTTGAGTCACATTAGTTTTTGAGTCCATATATCATCTTCATTTCTTTCTATGTTTGAGATGTACTTTTTGAATATGTTAATAGTCTGTAGTCACTGGAAATTCTATGCTAAGTCCCAGTTACCTCTCATAGAGCATTAGGGTGGTTGGTTTTATTTGCCCAGTGGTTGTGTATTGGTCATCTCCATTACAATAACCACTTGACTATTGCTTTTTAAAATGCTCACTTAAGGGATTGTTTCTTAATAGTCAGCAATTACAATTTTTTAGGTTCTATCCTCAGAATAACTACTTAATCTATGTTAAATTTCTTTTTTTCTTAATTGTTAGGTAATCTTTTCATCATCGATTGGTTGAGGTGGTTTTATTCTAATGTGTCTTCCACAAATAGGACTGTGTTTCAAGATAAAGTCCTGCATTTGAGAGCTGTCCTATAAGTTGATAGACATTGTAAAGACTAGGTATAAAGTGACCCCTCATTTTGGGGGGATGATTTTTGAGTAAAAAGAGTTTTTATCCCCAGTTTCTTGAGTTTGAATTTTCTGCATATGTTTTAAATAATTTAATTGAACTCTTAATTTGCACAAAGAAATTCAGAAAAGAAAACATTTGGCCGGGCGCGGTGGCTCAAGCCTGTAATCCCAGCACTTTGGGAGGCCGAGACCGGCGGATCACGAGGTCAGGAGATCGAGACCATCCTGGCTAACCCAGTGAAACCCCGTCTCTACTAAAAAAAAAAAATACAAAAAACTAGCCGGGCGAGGCGGCGGGCGCCTGTAGTCCCAGCTACTCGGGAGGCTGAGGCAGGAGAATGGTGTGAACCCGGGAGGCGGAGCTTGCAGTGAGCTGAGATCCGGCCACTGCACTCCAGCCTGGGCGACAGACCGAGACTCCGTCTCAAAAAAAAAAAAAAAAAAAAAGAAAAGAAAACATTTTTACTTATAATTATATCATATCATATAATATGATGACATTACTTGACCCAGAAAGGTGCGTGTATGTTGTTTTGAGATGGGAATGGTTTATTTCTGTCCTTTTTAGTGGCTCTGGTTGTTGGCTGTAGGGATTGTTCTATTTAACATTGAGTTCATGCCATTCATTTTTTTCCTCTTCTTTTTAGTAGAACATACTACCTTGGAAAATGTCAGCCTTCTAATTTTTCATCTTAGTTTAGGGTTATAGATATTTAAAATCATATATTTGTAAAATATAATAGCACTAAGATTATTAATAAAGATTATTGATATAGTAAATTTAAAGCATTTAGTTTTAAATGTCAGTAACAAATAGAACTGAATAAATCAAAGTTCTACAGAATTTTTATGAAGTATCCTCTCCCCCTCCTTTCTAAATAAAGTTGATGTCAAATAAAACTGGATGACTGTGTACATGGAGAGTATTCATCCATTCTTTCATTCATCATGCATGGATAGGAGCAGCTTCCTCTGCTGCCCCCTCCACCTACACAGTCCCGCCACTCTACCCAACACAGTGCAGGACCAATTGGTCCCCCTTTTGAAGCACTCCTTCAATTTACATTTCATTTGTTTATTATGGCATAGACCCCCATCAATATTATGATAATTTATGTACAGGTTGACCTCCTGTCTCAGACTGTGAGCTCACTGAGGGCAGGGAGTTTCTTGCTTATCTTTGGCTGCCATGGTTAGCTCAGGCATACCACTTAGTCTGCACTCAGGACAGGTTGTGGACTCAGTGCTTAAGTGCTACATTTTACCTCACCTCAAGAAGTTCATAGGTTGATGGACGAGGAGGACATGTGCAATTAATTCCAGTAAAATTGAATATGTATTAATGGGAATGTGCACAAAGAATTCTGAGAACACAGAGGAGGAAGTGATGCTAAAGCATGTAGGTGATGGAGTGGCTATGAAACATTTGAAACATGGGGGCACTTATTGGCAATAAAATCTGGAGTATATGGAGGCACTTTATAACAAGGTTCCTGTGCATTCAGAATACCCTGGTTAGAAGTTCAGTAGAGTTAATTCATGTACCTCACTTCTACCTGTTAAATGCAAAAACCACTGCTAGAAATTTTCTTTAACGTTATAGGAGTTGATAGAAATGATAGATGAACAAAGGTTTTTTTTGTTGTTGTTGTTGGCAGTGAAGAAAATATTTCAAATTATCCTTTAGGATTTTTTTTTTCAGGTATGGTTCACTAGAGTAGGACTCTGTTGGCATTATATGGTTTCTTATGCCATGTAGGTGCTGTCTTTTGCTTTTGCCAATTCCCTAGAGTTGTAACACTTTCATCTCTGCATTCAAAATCGTACCTTGTTAAGGAGCTGAGAATATGTTTCTACAATTACTTTTACGTTGCTGTTTCATTGTTTGCTTTTTTTTGCCCTGAAAGAAAAGCAGTTCTAGAATAAAGATTTTCTGTCTTGGTGATAAAAAAAAATTAGTGTTTTTCGAGAATAAATAAAGCTATTGAACAGAATTTTAAGGGTAAAACTTCAACTTAATTTTTTTTACATTGTGGAATTGTACTTGCAGAAGCCAGCAGGTGGCAGTATGATGTATAAAGTGAAAGGTTTCAAATGGGTATAAAGGCTCCTTTTCATCAGAAAATGTTACTTGCATATTAAAGAATTCATATCACTTTATTATTCATCAGAACTTTTTTTATACTGTCACTTTGTTGAACATATTTCTATTATGATTTTATGGGCTATTATTTTAAATTATATATTTAGTACTTTTTTTTTTTAAGTAGAGATTTTGCTGATTCCAAGGGAACATTGAGGAGTTTGGAGAGGGAAGCCTCATAACCTCATAACTCTCCCAGTGAGGGCTTCTGTAGCAGTAGTAGCTGTATGCAAAGCCATGAAATAAAGCTGGGTTAGGGATTTCTGGCGTGTAAGCACCCTTCCAGAGGTGGGGAAATAGGAATAATAATTAGATTGCCTAATTTATCTGTCATCAGCAGCATCCTAGCCATGCAAGAATGTGGCTCGTTTTCAAGATAATAATAAGCTATCTTGGTTACTGAACTAATTACTTAATATACTAAGAAATATTGATTGACAAGTTTGGTAGATATCTAGAAGGGAGAATAATGTGTTTCATTGGTTCCATTAATACTCAGTTATGGCATTAACCTATCATTAAGTGTGTTTCTGTATTCCTTCTCTAGGGTTCTCTAAATGCCATGTGGTATGCCGAGGTTGGTTGCTTTTGAGTTTTTAAAAACTATAATGCATAGATTACTTGTGTAATTTCAGTTGGAATAAAAAGTAGATGTCAATATTTTTCTTAGCTGCTGTAAATTTCTCCCTGCCTGCTGGTCTGAAATAAAACAGCTGCATCGTGCTTTAGCTTGATTGTTTTCGTTTTTGCTTAAATGCACAAAGTCTGATGACTGTATGTGGCTAATTTTGCCTTCCTTTGTCCTTGGTCCCTGGCTGTATTTGTTCAATGTCTTTGATATGCTACTTGGTGCTATTTGTAAAGAAGCATTTACAATAGTATATGATGTCTGAACTCTCCTGTATAGGTTAAAGAACTCCGAGAAAAGGCTGAGTTTTATAGGAAGCGAGTTCAGGGGACACATTTTTCTCGGGACCACCTGAATCAGATTCTGTCTGATAGCAACTGCTGTTGGGATGTCTCCTCAACTACAAGCTCAGAAGGAACCATTAGTAGCAACATCAGAGCATTAGATCTTGCTGGGTAAGATATTCTTTGTGGATGGCAAAAAAAGTTTGTTGACACTTATATAGATCATAGAATGTCATAGGAAAATGACCTGACTACTCAAAATTTGTCTCCAGTCAAATGAAAATGTGGCAGCCATTTATTTCATTTTTATTCTCTGTGAAAAATAAAGCAATATAGATTGCTTTATTTGTGTATAAATACCACATAATGTAAATCTGGAAGGCTAGATTTTTATAATTTTTTTTTGACAATTAATAGCAGAGTAGGGATGATTATATGGTAGATGTAAAAAGACCTTTAGAAGGTGAAAAGAAAGTCAACAACAATAAAAACGTAGAGACTGTAAGCTATTAATGCATACCTATTATCATTCATTGATGGATTTTTGTGGCTGATTCAGAACTTGACTGCTGATTTTATGGAAGAGCGCTTTGCTGTTTTGGGTTTAAATGAACATGATGTAACTATTTGTAAGCGAAAGTAATTGAAGAACTTAGACCATGGGATCCTAGTTTATGTGTGTAAATGCCAGTTTAGGGCTAGGTATGACTTGTGTCAGCAGATTAGATGTACACAAGCATATGTGAAGGTAGGAGTAAAAGAAGATAAATGCATTTTGGAATATTTTAATAGAAACTCCAGATTATAACTTTGATTTATTTTACTATAAAACAAATTAGATTTCCTTCTTCAATACCTGAGCAAGGCAGTATCTATGGAAAACGTGTAGTTGTGAACAGAAGAAGGAAACGATGGACTCATTAAAATTGGTGTAGATTAGGAAAGTGCAGACTATTCACATTTAAAATAAAACTGATTTTGTTAACACAGAGATACTACAAGCCATAAGACTTTGCAGAAATGTCCTTCTACAGAACCAGAAGAAAAAAGAAAGATCGTGGAAGAACAGCCCCAGAAAAATACCACGGAGAAATTGGGCGTGTCACCTCCCACTCTACCTGTTAGAAGGCGGCTGGCTTGGGATACAGAGAACACTAGTGAAGACATACAGAAACAGCCCAGGGAGAAAGAGGAGGAGGAGGAGGAGGAGGAAGAGGAGGAGGATGACAATGAGGAGAAAGGGGACAGGAAAACGGGCAAGCAGGCTTTTATGGGAGAGCAAGAGAAGCTGGATGTACATGAGAAATCTAAGGCAGACAAGATGAAAGAAGGGTGAGAGTTTTAAATTACTCAGTATGGAGAAGCATTATTTACATAGTCGATATGTACTTTGTTTTGTCACTAAATATAGTGGTTTACACTTTTGATTTTATGACTAATAAAGTGCAGATTTTATTTCAACGTCACAAAGGCACTGCTATGTGGTGAATAATTTGATTCAGGTATTTAAGTCACTACTGATTGGTAATTGAATACTTGAATTCTGGGCTACTTTGGGAGGAAGTAGTTAGGATTATTTTCATTTATGTCCTATAATTTATGGTGTGCCAGATTTGCAAATGTGTCTGGAAGAATGACTTTAAAGAAAAAAGCTGGTGCTCTTTAATATCAGATGATTCTACCAAAAAAGATAATGTTTTATGATATTTTTAAAAAAGTGATTTCTGATAATAGCTAATTCCTGTTGTTTTATGTGTAAATTGCTGTGGGGAGTTGCTCTTCTCCACCTATGATAATAGTGCCTTTTGTCTATAATCTAAATCCCTTATTCATTCATGGATGTTATGGAACTTGAGCCTTGATGTAAGGAAGGATTCTCTGCTGTGCTGGTGCTGACTTGCAGTGATTTTCCCCCTTATCCAGTATTCAGTCACTTTTTTCTTTGTGGGTTGTTTTTATTCTATTGATATAGTCCATATAGCTTATAGTATTTTTTCAGTGTTCAGTTTTATTTTTGATCTTGTGCTTAGTTCTATTCATTATTGAAAATTTTAGTGTCTTTTAACTGCATGTGGATTTGGTGGTGATTTTTTCAGAAACAAAATGGCATTCTCTTACAAGTTTTATATTTTATTGCACAATGATGACAAAGTATTTTTTTAATCATATTTTCTGGAGGAAATGCTGTATAGATTCATAGATTGTTTCAATTTATAGGTCGGATTCTTCTTCTGTATCCTCAGAAAAAGGAGGCCGGCTTCCTACTCCCAAGCTGAGAGAACTTGGTGGAATCCAGAGGACTCATCATGATCTCACTACTCCAGCTGTTGGTAATCAGCAAACACCGTGCAGTTCTTATTTAACCTGCTTTTTCTACATGATAATTTAGTGTAATTGAAACTATCATCTTCTTTATTTTTCCAGGTGGTGCTGTTTTAGTGTCTCCATCTAAGATGAAGCCTCCAGCCCCAGAACAGAGGAAAAGAATGACCTCTCTGGATTGTTTAGAAACTTCAAAGAATGATTTTACTAAGGTAAATATATTTTGGGGAAAAAAATTCATCTCATCTGTGACTAATTATTGTAGACATGTAATAAATGAATGATAGGTTAAGAATTTAGAGAATCGTGGCTATCATACGAGGGGATGATACTGTTAACCTGCTTTTAGTAAGGCAAAAGTCTTGACTTTTTTCTGTTAGAAGCATTGCGTTTCTGTTGATACATTTTCAACTTTGTCAGTAGTGACCCAACAGGAAGAGAAAGAAAACAATACTTTTATTGAGCATCTCCTGTGTGGCAGTTGTATTCCAGCTATGTTACAGGCATTGTTTTAGTGCTGGGGATATAGCAGAGAACAAACAGACAAAAATCATGGTCGTCATTGAACTTACGTTCTAGTGGAGGAGAGAGACAAACAAAATAACCAGGTAAAATACACAGTATTTTAGATATTGATTAGTACTAAGGAGAAAAATAAAGCCGCTGAAGTGAACAGTAAGTGGCCAGGGAAGTCCTCAGTGCGAGAGTGGCATGTAAGCAGGATCTGATAAAGGCAAGGGATTGACCTGTATGCAGATCTGGGAAGGTCTAGGTGACAAGAACAGCAAGTGCAGATCCCTCAGGTGAAGGGGGTATCTGCCTGTCTGAGGAACAGCTAGGAGATCACTGTAGCTGGAAGAGAGAGAATGAGAGGGATAGCAGTGTTGATAATGGGTTCAGAGACATAATGGGGTGCTAAATTGTGTAGGGCTTTGTAAATCATAGCAAAGATACTGAATTTTTTTCTGTATGCAGTGGGAAGCTATTGGAAAGGCAGAGGAGTGACATAATTTTACTTAGTTTTTTCCCAAGGTCTTTCTGGCAGCTGTGTTGGGAATAGATAGTAGTAGAGCAAGAGCTGGTGCATAAAAACAGTTGGGAGTCACTTACTCTATCCAGGCAAGAGGTGATGGTTGGTTGGACCTTGGTGGTGGCAGTCAAGGTCATATGATAAAGTTCAATTCTGGATATACATGGAAGGTACAGCCAACAAGATTTGCTGATGGGTAAGATCTGGGGTGGGAGAAAGAGAAAAATCAAGGGTGACTCAAGATTTTTGGCCTTAGCAATAAGAATGGAGTTACCATTTAACTGAGTTGGGGAAGATCAAGAATTCCATTCTGGACACACTAAATTTGAGAAGCTTATTTAGATGTACAAGTAGACATGTTGAATAGGGAACTGACTATATAGGTTTGGAGTGTAGAGGAGAAGTTGGGCTATCGGTACAGATTTGAGGCTCTTTACAGCTTAGGTGAGTCAGGTATTTAAAGTATTGAGACTGGAGGAAATCATCAAGGGGGTGGGTGTAGACAGAGAAGAATAGTTGCAGACAGGTCTAAGCCCCAGTTTTTTGATATTGGGAAGTTGAGGACTAGTCAGCAAAGGAGACTGAAGGAGAGCAGCCAGTGAGGTGGTGACAAACAGGAGACTGGTATCCTGGAGGTGTCAAGGGGAGGGAGAGTCAATGCTACAGATAGGTCAGTAAGATAGGACAGTTGCTTATTGGATTTAGCAACACGGAGGTCATTGGTGACCTTGATAAAGGGCAGTTTTGGTGGAAGGGAGGAACAAAAGCCTAAGTGCAAGTGAATTCAAGAGGAAAAAGAGGAGAAGAATTGGAGAAAGCTGCCACAGATAATTCTTTGAAGTGTTTCTTTTCCAAGAGGGGAAGCAGAGTAATGCAGGAGTAGTTGGGAGAAGTGAGATCAAGATGGAAGACATAACAGCATGTTTGTATGTGGACAAGAATAATTTTGGAGAGAGAAAAGCTGATGATGCAGGAGTGAGGGGAAAGTTGTTGGAAAGATGCTCTTGAGTAGGAGACAGGGCTTAGGATCTGGCGGAGATATGGAAGGGTTGGCTTTAGACACTGACTGTTTATTTTTACAAGAGGGAAAGCTGAACTCATGGGCACTGCTGATGAATGTAGGAAGATGCGATGGCAGCTTTTGTAAAACCTCTTCTTATTGCTTCTTGGTGACGTGTGAAGAAAAATCCTTGCTGAGAATAAGGCTGGGGAAGATGTTGGAGATTTGAGGAAAGTGAAGGCATGGAGTAGTCTTCTCAGAGAGTGGGAGAGTGAGTGGGCCAGGGGAATATGGGATATTTTAGGCCAGTGTTAAGGGGCCATTTTAGGTTGGTGGTCACAAAGTTGGCGGAAGACCAGTCAGGAAGGGTTGTGTGCCTTTCTCCAGCAATGTTTGGCTGCAGAGGTGCAGCATACTTTTATCAAATAGAGAGTTGGATTTACCTAGGGTTTTGAACTTGATAGAGTCAGAGTGTTGCATTTACCTAGGGTTTTCAACTTGTCATGAGATTAAGACAAAGTGAGAAAAAGGGGAATGGAGTTAAGGTATATATGAAGAAGGGATTATAATGAGTTGGTGAGAGAAGGACACTGGGACTTGAGAACAGTGCAGAGGTGATAGGATCGGTGGATGGATGGTCTAGGTAAAATAAAAGACTTGTTGGAATTGGGGCACCCTTGGGGATTAGTCTTAAAGTTAGGAAATGGTGGTCAGAAATTTAGATTTGTGGAGAGGTTGCATTTACCAGTAATGACAAGGCTTAACATATAATCATAGGTGTAAGTGGTTGGAGTAGAATAGAGAACATTCAGAGAAAAGGTTGAAAATCTATAGGGAATGTTGCTGATGGCTGTTTGTGAATTTGAGTACAAAGTAGGAGTTTTCAGGGTTTGGGAACAGGTGGGAGATGGGATCAGAGTACCCTCTACCTCTTAATCCCCAGTGCTTAGAACAAAGCCCAGCTCATAACATGTAACAGATGGAATGAATGTTATTGGAGTGACAGAATATCTAAACTATTTTCTGTTGCTTATGTATACATTGGTTTATTAAAGGAAATGTGACATCAGGAATACAGTCAGAGGACTCATGAGAATCAGATCTTAGTGGACTGTTATACTCCTCCTGAGAAATCCAGGCTGTCATCTGGAAGGTGTGAGCTTTTAGGCAACTGTATACACACAGCTGATTCAGCCAAAATGAGTGACTAATCCATATTTGCAATTGGATTTATATGTATTATTTTCACTTACTGTGGAATTAATTTATTGAGTAATCTAAGTAGAATAATATCATTCCTCAGAATGTTAATGCCAATCTCTCTCGCACTGTGCGTACTATACACTTTTAACATTTTAATTACCAACTCCTCTAAAATAAGCAAGTTTCTGGCCTGGCATGGTAGCTCATGCTTGTAATCCCAGCACTTTGGGAGGCCGAGGTGGGCGGATCACATGAAGCCAGGAGTTCAAGACCAGCCTGGCCAACATGGGGAAACCTTGTCCTTACTAAAAATACAAAAATTAGCTGGGTGTGGTGGCAGACGCCTGTAATCCCAGCCACTTGGGAGACTGAGGCACAAGAATCACTTCAACCCAGGAGGTGGAGGTTGGAGTGAGCTGAGATCACACCACTGCACTCCAGCCTGAGACAGAGTGAGACTGTCTCCAAACCAATAAATACATACATATGTACATACGTACACAAGTTTATTATTGACAACTTGATTGGATATCCTTCCATGTGAATTTTCCGTGACCAGCACTACCAGGGACTATACCTGGAGCTAGCTAGATTTGGTTATTTCCCAGTGTCTACCCCTTAGTTACTGGTAGGCAGAGGAGTCACTAAACTTTGATATACACCATCAGTTTTTCCCCTTATATTCTCTTATAGAAGCATTGATAATAAATTACATTATTATGTATAAAATTAAACCTGTAGGTCATTCAATTTCCAATAAATTATCAGTATGTACCAAAACTTTAGGGTAGAATTCTCATATTGGTTTGATCATCAGGAAGCATTTTCAAATCTTAAAATTATATTAAAAACCCAAGTGTGGATTTGCTCACTTCATTCATTTAGCAGATTTACCCATATGCTGTGGCAATGATAATGGATAGAAACAGATGTGGTACATAATCTTAGGAAGCCTACAGTCTGGTAAGGGAGATACATGTTAATCACACACAAAAAAAGTGAAATTAAAACTAATAAGAGTTTCAGAATAAAAGTATTTAGCGCTATTCTGGAAGGAATTGGCCTAATCATGGAGATGAGAAACCTTCTTGGAAGTCAATGATGCTCCTTTGAAAAAGTCATAACTGAGGTAAGATAAAAGAGAAGAGGAAGCATTAACCAGGAAAAGAGGATGGGGAGCATAGCATATGCCAAGATCTTGTGGAGAGAAAGAAGGCAGAGTTTGAGGAAACAAAGACCAATACAGTGTGTGGCAGGGAGTCTGGTGCAACATGAAGCTGGAAAACATAGCACCATAGGGATTTCTGTCATTATCTCAAGAGCAATGGGAAGCCATTGAAATATTTTAAGTATGGGAATTGTGATGGATATATGTTTTCAAAATCTGTCTGGCTGCCATAGGAGGCAAGAGTAGACTGAATGCCCTTAAAAGGCCATTGTAGTAGTCCATGTAGGAGGTGTTGGTAGCTTGGATGAAGGAGGGGAGAAATAGAAGTGGATGAAACTGCACAATTGTGTAAGGGGAACAATATTAAGGCTTGATGCTGGGTTGGATAATGGGGGATGAGAGACAGGGATGCCTGCTAAGTTTCTGGCTTGCCCAACAAGATTGATGGAGGTACCATGCACTGAGCAAGAGAACTGTGGACAAGGAACCTCTTTGGAGGGGAGTTTTATTTTCATTCATTCAATTCAATATTTAATAGGCTCTTCACAAGTGCCAGGCACTGTTCTGGGATCTGAGGATTCATTAATAAGTCAAAATCCCTGCCTTCATGAAGCTTACATTTTCATTGGGAGGAATAGACAATTTTTAAAGAAAATAATTTCACATAGTAGTAAGCACTGTGAATTAAATAAAACTACAGATCTCTAAGGGATGGGTAAGACTGCTTTAGTTTGGGCCATCAGGACAGGCACCTCTAAGGAGATGACATTTTAACTGAGACCTGACTGATGAGGAAGGTGCCCATGCAGAT